ATAAGACTTTAGCTGGCCTTGTAGGTTTTTTTTTTTCTTGTACATAAAATAATGATGTGTGTTATTACTGGCAGTTGGCCTGAAGGTACAATAAAATATACAGGCCAGGCGCAGTGGCTCACACTTGTTACCCCAGCATTTTGGGAGGCCGAGGTGGGAGGATAGCTTGATCCCAGCTATCCTTGAGACCAGCCTGGGCAACATAGCAAGACCCCACCTCTACAAAAAAGCTTAAAGATTAGCTGGGCTTGGTGGCACATGCCTATAGTCCCAGCTACTCGGGAGGCTGAGGTGGGAGGACAGCTTCAGCCTGGGAGGTCAAGGTTGCAGTGAGCCATGATGACGCCACTGCCCTCTAGCCTGGGTGACAGAGTGAGACCCCTTCCAAGAAAGGAGGAGGAAAGAAAGAAAGTAACAGAGAGAAAGAGAGAGGGAGAAAAGAGAGAGAGAGGGAGGGAGGGAGGGAGCGACGAGGGGGAGAGAGCGACGAGGGGGAGGGAGCGACGAGGGGAAGGGAGGTAGGAAAAGAGAAAAAGAAAAGAAAGGGAAGGAAGGAAGGGAAAAGGAAGGAAGGAAAGAAGGAAGCAAAAGAAAGGAAGAAAGGGAAGGAGGAATGGAGGGAATGAGGGAGCAAGGAAGGAAGAAAGGAAGGGAGGGAGGGGGGAGGGAGGGAAAGAAGGGAAGAAAGAAGTGTGTGTGTGTGTGTGTGTGTGTGTGTGTGTGTGTGTGTGTGTAAACAGAATCTTGTCCAAAAGCTTGCAGAAAAAAAAAATTTAACCAGAAAAGCAAAGCCCACATTCCCTTCTACTTCTCCAGACATTTCGTCCCCTTCCTCAGGTTGACCACCTGACCTTGCCACGTTGGTGCCCGCTGGGGCTCTTCCGCAGACCCTCTTCCCTGCCCCTCTCATTCTCAACACAGTGTCTCACTGACCTACAATGGTAGGGCTCACGGTAGCTTCCTCTCCAGCCTTCCACCCTCCAGTCTCTCCCCCACACCAGAGCTGACCCTGCCTCTTCCCGGCAACAAACCCTCCCATGCCTCCCTAGTATGCCCAGGATAGAGTCCAGGATCCTCAGTCTGGAGTTCAGGCCTCTCCCACCACTGTTCACTCTTCATCTCCTTTGTTCTTTTTGCTTTGTTTTGAGAGAGTCTCGCTCTGTTGTCCAGGCTGTAGTGGCATGACCTTGGCTCACTGCAACCTCCACCTCCCAGGCTTAAGCGATTCTCTGCCTTTTAAGTAGATAGGATTATGGCCGCATGTCAGCACACTCGGCTAATTTTTATATTTTTGGGTTTTTTTGCGCGTTGTGGGGCGCAGACCTCGCAAGTTCAGCAGGGCAAGCTCACGCCCTTGGCCTTTCAGGTGGGGCCTTGGTGGCGGTGGCGGGACTCACATAGTTGGACGCCCACCAGGACTTGAGCCGCAGGTACCACTGCAGCAACGACGCCTGCAGCCTCAGGAATTCCTGCGCCAGGACCGCGGTCCAGTCGAAGTCCTCGTCAGACAGGACAGGCCGGACCGACTCCAGGTACTGAAGAGGGGAAGAGCGCAGGTCACGCCCCGCCCACCCGCGCGCCCTGGTCAC